CTTTGATCAATGCTGCATTACTCAAACTAAGAAGATTTATTGCTTGAATATCCACTTTACAGTATTTGTTTGTTAAGATAAATACCTTTATATTTTATGTATTTTCCACTGTGTATATTTCACCACTTCAAATGTTTCTCAAAAATGTGATTTGCAGGCTGATTTGGGAACCACTGCTGCGATCTAACTATGAGACCAGCCAAACCAGAATAGCTCATTTCCTCAGTAATTTGAATCCAATAAATCTGAATGCTTTTTATACTATTTGGTGACGCTAATGATGATGATTGATGAATCTGTATCTGCAAAACTATTTTTCCTTAGAATTTCAAAATCGGGCATATTGTTCATTTGAGAATGCAATCCACATCAAATGACAGTGCTGTAGCTGACTAACCACAATAAATTCTGACCTTTAATGAACAGATGAACACAACAGACACAAAGAAACCCAGGCACCTCTTACAAGGAGTGGGATTAAAGTGTTCCCAATCTGGAGGGTCACAAGTTTGCATGTGGCCCCAGAGGCTACATAATTATGCTTTGAAATCATTCAAAAGTTAGATGCTTCAGCTCTATCACCTTTCAGTCTTCAGTTCACTTCTTATCTCAGGACTACTTTCCCACTCTCTCAGGATTGCATTAATAAAAGGGGAGAACAGATAGAATCTCTTGCATTCCTACACATGTGCAATACTGTTTTATATATATATATACATATAGATGTTAACATTCTATGCTAAAAGAAAGCAATGAGGATTAGTTCCATTTCTCTTGAAGACATTAAGAGTCAAATGAACTTATCAAACTGGCAGGCTACCGAATGTAGCCTGCCCACACGGCAGAGTCTGGCAAACTCCCTGTGTCGTACCCAATATGCCAAATACCAGTAACAATGATGGGTCTCATTCTCCTAAAGAGCCTTGAATATAATCTCAGGGCTAGGATGAAGGAGACGTTACTGGGGTCTGCTCGAGACAATCGACGATTAACAGGATGATTTGTGATTTTGTGATTGTGAACTTATCCAAGGCCACATGACTAACATTAATAGCAGGGTTTCAGATGGAAGTCACATCTGATTTTTAAGTTTCCTTCTCCAAGGCCATATAATAGGATCAAGACTATAAATATATCTAGAACAGATATTATTCATCTACGTATAGCTACATATACTCACACAAGTACTGTTACCATTTCTTGTCTCCAGAGAGAAAACCAATAGTTGATAGACACAGATAGATTAATGGTAGATGAAAGATAGAGTGAGCTAGAAATAGATTGAGCCTTGAATTTCTCTCTCTTCTCTATAAAAGGTAAAGGCCCTCCCGTTGATCGTGGATTTGCTCGAGCGGGCCCAGTAACGTCTCCATTGGAGACTTTTGTTGTTACTGTGTCTGGCATATTGAATACTCTCGGTAGCTTGCCAGGCTCTCCGAGAGGGGCGGAGGAATCAAACTCGAGTCGGCCATGTTGGCCGCTTGTAAGGCAAACGCCCTACCCGCTGTGCTATCGCTCCAGCCCCTCTTCTCTATACTACTTTATATAATGATTTCAACAAACAGTTGGGGAGGCATTTGTAAATCAGAGAGGGGTCTGATTTATTTCATAAAAGTTTATTTACATTGTACAGTGATGGCATAAGTAATAATAATAAATGCTTTCAGTTAGATGTCAGCCGGGATAAAACATTTGGCTTGTCTGGAAGTAGCTATCTTTACCCACCCATTACATCTTTGCATTGTGTTCCTTTGCTGCTATCAGCTGAGAGCAAAGGAGGACCTAGGAAGAGAGTGGAAGGGGCGTGGAGGGAGAGAAAGAGAAGGAGGAAGGACAAAACAAACTAATTCCTCAACCACAAGTGATTTGAGTAGCCCAAACTAGGCTGGATATACAGCTTCACATTTCAATTGATGAAGAAGTCACTGGGTCATTTAGTTAACTGGTTCAAAATCTCCTTGTTATCCCAGGGGGACTGCTTGCTAGTAGTCATATAGTTGACCTCCAAAGACTAGGGGATCAATACAAAACACTGAAGACTGGGGGCCAGATATCTTAGTAGTTGGCATCAGAGACCAACTTACCTGAGCCGCAGGGGACACTCTTCCAGTCCAGCTTGAGAGGCTGGGAGATGGGGTAAACTGTCCCTCCATTGTTTCCTCCTTTGATTTTGTTAATGACATAAAGAAATTTCATGACAAAGGAGAGAAAAGAGCATGCACTTGAAAATGAACATAGGGAGAGCAAAAACAAGTGAGCAGGAGCAAACAAGCGAGTACACCAGAGACAGTGATAGGGAATGAGAGACAGTTAGACACACACAGAGAGATAGTGAATGAGAGTGAGCCTCAGAAAGTAAGAGGAATTCTACACCCAAAATTGGAATGTGGGTGATTCTAGAGCAGCCCTTGCATTCTTTCCCCTGTGGTATTTCTAAGCTTCTCTGGATATTTTCTCTCTAATCAGGATATGGTCACACTCAAACTTGTCTTTCAGCAACACAGCACCCAAGGGAGAAAGGGTTGGGTTTTATTCTAACAACAACACAACTGTCTAAAATCACTACCCAGCTGTTTGTCTGGAAGGATCTCTACCCTCGATCATCTCCCCCAACGATACACACATATCAAGTAGACATTAATAAGAACCTTTACCACAATAGAAAGAAGTAAAACACTCAGGAGGAGTAGAAAGAGAAACTGTGGTGAGACTAAGAATTCGCACTAAAACATGCCTATGAAAGCACCTATCAAAATATCATTCTACATTAGAGACCAGCCCTGTGGGAAGGGAGATTATCTGCTTCTGTTAACATTTAAGAGCCCTACCAAACAGAAATGCTCTCCAGACTTGGCAGATTTCATTTTTGTCATAAAGCAGGTAGAGTCTAGCTCTACTTACCAGTGTACACAATGCCAACTTCAAGCAAAGGTGAGTTTTGTTCACTGAGAACAGAGGGACAGGATAGGGAAATGATGGCTTTCAAACTCAGAGACATTTAACTAGAAAGAGGTATTAACTTCTTTGTGTTTATTTCTTGGACCAGATTTCCAACCCTTCTCTGCATCTCAGCTGTTGAGATCAGGGACAAACAAGATAAAAGAGAGAATGCAGAGGAAAGGGAACAAACCCCGAAGGGAAAACACAAACAGGATGAAACTGTGTTAGATTTTGCAGTTTCTGGATGTTGGGAAGAGTTGTGAAGGAGTGTAAGTGCACTGAAAAACTGGGATTTCTGAGTCAGCACAACTAAGCCTCTCCAAGTGTGATGTCTGGGAAACCAGGGTTCATACCATACACATTCTTAGAATCACAGGTAATGCTACCTGTTGTCTCTAGTTGGAAATAGTTTCCCTATATCTAAACCTGGGGTTCTGGTATGAGTCACTTGCTGCCTGGCAGGTAAAAGGAAACAGGTTGATTAAACTCTTCCTACTCTCGGCCATTACACCTGCACAAATACCACAATATGTAGGTAATGCTTCATGGGGAGGACTTTCATGTTCCATTCATAAAACTGTTCATTATTGGGTTTATCCAAGTTTTGGAACAAATCTGCCAGCTCACATTTGTTTTGCTAAAGGACTAGAAAGCACACATTGTTAAGGTAATGGCTAATCCTGCTCAAGTTGATGTAGATGACCGGCAAAGTTATTCTGAATACAGGTGCAAGTGATTGATGAGGAAGCATCTGTGTTTGGAAATGGCAAGAAAATGCTGAGGTGCCTTTTTGAACTGGATTACACTGGATGGTGAACCAAAAGATTGTTTTTTGATATCTTTTATTGAATTTGTATAAATATCTTAGCTTCCCTTTAATGAACTCTTTTTTTTGAAGAAGTACAGACACATCTGTGAATCTAATAAAATCCATGGACCTTGGTCTGAAACAAACATGAATGAATTTAGAATTTCAGGGAAAGAGTATATGTATCCATTAAAATCCACACATAATTACCCCTTAAGGATTCATGGACCTAAATAAAACGTTCCTGGTCTAGAAAAAAGAGCCTAACATATATTGAATAGTTTTTATATATCAGTCATTTTTCCAAGTACATTCAAAATATTTGGTAAAATAGCTTCTCACAACAAGACTTCAGAACAAGAACCCACCTTTGTTTGGACTGGCCATTTGTTGAATAGAAAATGGTCAAAGAAAAAGTCACTTGCTCCAGGTCACCTGCCATAAGTGGCAGAGCCTGGATTCAAAAGCAAAATAATATATCCACTTAGCAACAATGTCAAAGTTTGTGAAATGATATGAATGAAAGTCAATTTTACAGATGGGTCATTGATGCAGTAGCTTAAAGTGTGTGCATGTGGCAGAGAGTGGAGTAGAGAAGCAGGATAATTTGTCTGGCAAGAAAGCTAAGAAAGTAGGCAAGATGGGGCTTCTCACTGGCAAGTATAACATATCCTCTACTTACTACCATTCATGACAAAAACCAAAAATTAGTGAAGCCTTTTCCTTGGCTTCCAAAGAGTAGGCTTATGTAGCTACCACTAGGCCTTGGCCTTAAGTTTTACATGTTGACCTAAAAAAAGGAGCTTATTTCCAGGATCACAAATGTCAATACTTTCCAGTGCTAGGAAAGTGATGTCTATGGGAGACACAGATCAGTGTAAGGGGATGATGGTGTTATCAGACCATGACCAGAGCGAGAGTGTATGATGCTCTCTGGACTTTCCTTAGCCTGTCTGTTGAACCACCATTACCACAAATTCCAAAGGGGCCAAACAAAAGACATAGTACAAGCCTAGGGTCCAGCCATGTGTGACTTTGTGGTAGATTTTTTTCCATCTCACTCTTTAGGCATTTCAACTCAGGAGTGGAGGGTTTAGCACCTGTAAACAGATTCCAGAAGCTTGCCTCTGCAATCACCAGCATGGTGATTTTTGTTTCATTTGAATGCTTTTTGCATGCTAACCAACCACACAGAGGTTCAGACATCCGAGGAAGGATCATCAGATAGTAAATGGTAACAAAGCCCACTCACCTCATGCACAAGGCACATTCAAGGTCTGTTGCGTCAAAAGTTGCAAGCGGTTCACTAAAAGCAGGTACAGCTTCCTGCTCATTGTTGAAATCTGTAATTCAGAAAACAATGAGTCAGTACTAGATACACACAGGTGTCACAGGCTTCTCAGGTCTAAGGACTGAAACATTTGGTTTCAGTTGGCCATTCTCACCACTTCTGGAGACTTGGTGACTTGGTTATCTGATCAATGAGGTGGGCAGCCACAAAACTGACTTGGGTATTTTTCACATAGACAGAGGGATGCTTGTCAGGGAATAGATAGGTACCCAGGGGATAGGGACCTCAGTCCACAAGAACAGGCCCCACTCTATGAGCCTGGCCTCCCAAGAGAATTGAGGGTGAACTTGTCCCTACCCACCTCTCTTCAGCTGCTAATCCATGTAATCCAATGGGTAAAGTGCTGCATAAGACATGACCCAAATTCTCTGGTCTTACATACAATCCTGGAATAGGGAAGTACAGAACCAAAAAAGGTTGACCTAAAAGGAAGTAACACCATCAAGGGCATGAAGCATCATTCCTTGATACCCTGTTTGCCTTTATACCTTGACCTGCTACCATCACGTACAAAAGGCATGGTTCTGATCCTAGAAACTCTACACACTCTCTTCTCCAAATAACCTGGTAGAAATAATCCTGAGGTCACAGAACTAAGTGGCAGAGATGGGAAACATCCCCAGAACAGTTGGCAAGCTCATCTATATGTTGAGTGACTTGCATAGGCTTGATAAAGCCCTGGTTCCCAATGGGGGTAAAGGTGACTGTGTGTACCTTGCTTAGAAGCTTTGCTAGGAACAGATGGATCTTGAATTTCCATTTTGCAGAGTTTTCTTTTCTTCTCCTGGCATTTACCAGTGTTGCTAGAGGAAGCTCCAGAAGTTCCTGGAAAGGCAGCTGCACCCTCCTCCTCCTCTTCTTCTTGGTCTTTCATGTCACACTCCTGGGTTTCAGTGGTATCCATGGGGCTGGTGCTATCTCCCCAGGCTGCTGCTTCCTCATGATATGAACAGTGTGGGAGTTCCATATTTTCCTGGAGCAAGTAAATATCAAACATCAGAATACACTTAGAAGAATATTGTCCTCTGAGAGTCCTACAAACTGGGGATGAGGACCAAGCTGGAAAGCCCTGATACTTTTTATATACAGATTAATTAGAGGTGGAGAGGATTGAGGGTGCTATAAGGCTGACTTTGCACTTGCTGGTCACACTATACCTTTTACAAAGACTTGCCCAAGTTGGGTGGAATCAATGTGCCCATTTAGACAAGGACACAAAGTCAGGTCAAGACAATGGTTAAAGAAAAAATCATGAAAATATAGTAACCATCTTCTTTCTAATCCCAAGCATTTCCAAGCAATGTTACTCAGTATTTTCTCTTACCCTCATTGCCAAATCAGACCATCTTAAAGTCCCATACCCCAACTACCAAAGGAATTTTTCTCACATTTTGGTCCACATATGTTCAAAGGCCTCTGGAGGGATTCATGTTCTATATCTGGTGTCATTCTTATCAAATGAACTAGAAGCAAATATCTCCCTTTACTAGATTTAGAATAAAATATCTGCAAGTGACACATCCTTGGGAAAAATTATCAAGAATATCCTTGGCCTTTTAAAGGAACTTGCATCCAAATAAAGGGGTATTTGAAAATGGATCTATACGTAAATATAATGACAAGGTATTTATGCAGATTTTCCTGGAGAAACTTTCTCTACTCTCATCTTAGTCCATAGGTCAAGATAATGTTGGTTTTGCCTCTCCAGCTCCTCATACTCTCCCAAGATGGGTATATAGACAACTGGGAAATGCCTTGTGGGTAAGTGAGGTGGAGAGACTAAAGATGTGGTTTTCCTAAGTTTATAACCTGGAGCTAGAGGTTTGGGACTGTTTGACCATAGAAAATGGGATTTTCAGTTTTCCATAAGCCATGTGCATTATCTGCATAGGCCTACACTGTTTGGAAAAGCAAACTGCATGGAAAACCAAATTCTGTTCTACAGCTGAGTCCCACTGGAATGTCAGGGGTGCTATTTTTCTTCATTTCACATTGAGCTGGATAGGGAAGTCACTCAAGGCACTAAAATTCAGTGTTATTAGTGTTCTTAATAATGTAATGATGACATCTAACTATAATGGAAATACACTAGAGCTTCTCTGATTTCAGGAGATGCTCTAAGTTTTGTTCTCTTCTTCTCTTGCTCTCTAATCAGACACACCTGCATTTTATTAATTCTCCAGAGGAGGTAGATCAGCTAAGAAAATGTAAGAATTTCAAAACATAGCAGAGCATCTAAAATACTTCCTATGAGTTCCTAAGGTTAACATATAAATACTGGAAGCAGCCCACAATGGAGCAGAGTCTGTTGCCTCTGGGTTCCGGGAGAAGGGGAGTTTCATAGTAAAACTCAACTTTTTAAGTTTTTTCTAGACCTCAGCTTCTGCATCTTTGTCCTCTGCTATGAATTTCCAGGACATAAATTCCATTTCTGTTTAGTTATGTTCTCTTTTTTTGTCATCTTATTATTCATTTTGAGCAGGGCTAATGATTCGGTACTGGACTCTACTACTGAACTACCTCCCTGGAGCTCTCTCTCTCTCTTTGTTTTAAAGCAACAGTATTTGTCTTTCTTAGTACTTCACAAATCATTTCTCTCTCCTCTACTAGACCAATATTAAGTATTGGTATGAGCCAGCTGTACTAAGGTGTAAAAGCATAGTGCAGATATAAAAAGTTACTGCCATTTGAGGATCAAAGGTCTTGGCAAGATGAGCTCCCCTGGCATCCTAAGGTCAGAAGTTTGAACAAACAAATACATGGAAAGGAACAACTGGCAGGTTTTATTCCCAGATTCCATGCCTATGCTGATCAGGCCACCCCCACTTAATGTCCCCAGGGGAAGTTGGCTGATTCCTTTTTAGTTCTAGCAACTTAGTTGGATGTGCCCGTGAAAGCCAATAGAAAGATCAGGCGGATGCTACCCTGGGTTCACATCTGAAATCCAGGATGACCTTCTACCAAAGAACAAGACCCCAGGAGATGATATTGTTTCTTTCTAATGAACTGAAGAGCTGAGAGAAAGGGAGATAGTGCTTACCTTCCCCATGATTTCCCACAACACCGCCAAACAAAACATCACGAGCAAGTTGGTTAAGTTGAGTTTTACCTGTGCCAAGTCTGGTAGATTATGGATGGTGCCTTCAGTAGCCATTGACTCTACTTGTTCCATTAATCTAAGGTGAGGTGCCAACAGTTTCAGGATATCAGGAGATTGTTCCTGAGAATCCCCCGGGACTGATGGTGAAAAGAAACTAAGGAGAAGCTGTGACATAAAACAAAAGACTTCACTACTTGAGATTCTACAGATGCTGGGGTAATGGGGAAGGGTAAGAGGGGGAAAGGGCCGTAGGGATGGGGGAAACACACCAGGGAGGAAGGCTTGCAACTGCAGACCTTGGCACACTGGGATGGATGGGTGGTCCTCACATCTGAAATGTTATAGAACTCAGAGAATTTCTAGGTTCCTAGTTCCCATGCTTGGCTTCCTCAGGAGAGAAGTATAGCCCAGGAGGACAAATTTTTTTTAAAAAGACCACAGATGTTTCTGGGACCCATACCAGCATGAAATGCCTCAAGTTTTAAGAAACTACTGAGAGACTTACAAATGAGTGATGTGAAGGCAGTAAAGAAAGCCCATTGTGTGTGGGGAGGTGTTACTGGAGTCATGTCCAGTTAATCCCCATCTACAAAAGTGTACTGAGTTCTTCGACTTTTCTTTTCTCTGCTTATCCATTGGATCCCTCCTTTGCCACCATTATGACTGGATTTATAAGCCCTTCCACAGTGAAGTGTTAGAAAAGCAGACTCCAATCATTCTCCCTCTTCTTCAGGCCTCTCCTCCCACATTCTGATCTTCTATTTCCAGTAACTGGCATATCACTTTAAGGACTGGGAATGGGCAGATTCCTGGCTGTGACTGGTAGTCTTTTTAATTGGATAAAGTCTCTACGTGTGTATTGGGAGTGAGGCGGGGGCCAATAGCATGTCAAGAGACACCTGGAGTCAAAGACGTATGTTTTAGTGCAGGCTGCACCTCTAGCAGTCCACATTATTGCTCTACTTCTCTCCTAGGCCAGCAGAACTTATTTATCCATAATAAACATGTGAACCACAAGCTTCTAAACCAAATTCAAGTGTTTTCCATGATCCACCCCTACAGAGCTTGTAGAAACACAAAAGAATGTTCCAGGTTATATGATCAAGGCACAAAATGATCAAATAAATCTAACACAACACTGAAAGCTCATCTCCGGGAGTTTCTTCACAAAGTCATTTCATCTATCAGCCCCTGCTATATAGCAAAACCCAACTCAGGCTCCAAGTCTCAGTGCTAGAGATACCTTCCCTTTTAATCCACTTTGAGACCCCTGTTTGTCCTAGCAGCATACACTATACTCTTAGGCATGCCTCCCATGATGGAACAGATATAAGTCTTTCTCTCTAAACACATAGCTTACTTGGGAAAAGCCTCATCTTGAATGTAATTGAATGAAGACATCCAGCCCAAACTTCAAAATCAAGCCTTGTGCTCAAGTCTTAAGTCCTCTTCCAATGCTAGAAAACTCACTTCCCAGGTTGAAAATGGCAAAGCACTGAGGTATTCAATGCCCAGGACCATAAATGCCAGCTCCACTGGAGATAAAGGATGCTGAGAAACCTTTGGGAGTGTTCAACAGAACCAATCTACTTCCAAAGTAATCTCCCCCAAATCCCCTCCCCACAAAGAACACCATGGTCTTCAGTAGCATCACAGGGTACCAGTATCAAAGGGTCTAGACTGACAGTAGATCAATGGAGGCAGAGAGGAGGGATAAAAGTAGAAAAATGCAAAGAAGGCTAATGTTGTCTTTCCTGCTAATGCCAGTCCTCTTCCATGCCTTGGGAAAACAAAACTTGGAGGTTGTTCTTTGGGAGAAAAATATCAATCTACCTGAATAAAAATCTATTTACTTTCAGTGCCAGCCTAATAAAGGCCAAAACAGGTCAAGTAGGAGAAAATTAATCATTTGGAAAAACAAACACTCAAAAGAAACCCAGGTCTGTGAGCATCCAAGGCAGCTAAATTAGTGCCAAATACCTAGACCATCTCCATCAAGTTTTCAGCCTTGGAACTGGAACAGTCAGTGAAAAAGCTCAGCTAAGGGTCCTCAGAGTTCTTAAATGGTTGCCATGACCTCATTGCACTCAGAGGAAATGCACCTCTAAATTTTTGCTCCAGCTTCAGAATTTGGGAACACACTGTACAGAATAATGTTCACTTGTGTTGCCTGGCATTTATATTGCGTTATGTAACTAATGCAAGATTGTAGGGGCCTTGAGGACAGAGATTGTGCCTTAAGCTTCTCTTGGTCTCCAATAGAGCTCAGCACAATGGCTTTTTGCCTCATTATATTAGTCAGGCATCTGAAGCAGAGGAGAGGGAGAGCTCAGTACACCTAAGCCACCTAGGTTAACTGGACAATGGTCAAGTGAGAACAAAGAAACCACTCATCCATGTACCCAACATCTGCCTCTGTTGGCCTTCACATATCATGCCCCCCAAATCCAGCTTCTTCTAAGGTACTTCTGTCAATCCAACACAGAATGGGTTATTCCCATTGCTGTTCTCCATCCAGTCACAGAAGGCAGTACTAAGACTCCTGGCTTATCTTTCTGGGACAGTAGGAAGGGTCATGGCTAAGAAATCTGACTCTGGAAGCATGGTTAAGGTTGAATGCTTGGCTACAATTCACTAGTTGCACAATCACTGCAAAGTTCCCCAGACTCAGCTTCTTTTAACTTGTAACACCTACTCTCATAGGATTTTGTGGGGATTATACATAGACCCTCCTGTAAAACCACAACATAGTACCTGGAACACAGAATATCCCACTCAATGCTAGTTATGATAATAATTAAAATTGAAGCAGTATTACTATTACTATTATAAAAACCATCAACTCTAATGAAGAGTTAAAGAAGGGGCTATGCTTTGCTCACCTCAAGAACACCTTGTCCATATCTCACCACCTGACTAAAGTTACTTTCCATAAAGAAATCTGTGAGTAGCACAATGCTAGAGCTCAGTTTCCCATAGTTCATTACTTGGCTCAAGTTTCCTTTCAGGAGTCATTAAAAACCTCCTGCTTACCATCATCTAAGGTTTTGGGGAACCCAGTTGGACTGTGGCTCTGGGGGGCACCATGACAAATGGGAATAAGACACAGGAAGAGTCAAGGCTACCACTAAAGGTCAGCCTTCAATTACCCCCCACACTATGAAAGGACACTATGAGAGGACACTATGAGAGGACACTTCCCCCCCAGAGAAAAAAACAAATCCTGGGAGGAGTGGCTGCTCAAGTCTTGCTAATGCTCTCCAAAATCACAGGCAATTGGTCACTGCCACCACCATATTCTCTTAGGACTCAAGAGTTAGAGTGAACTGACTTCATTCTACTATGATGGTACTTTATGGTGCCTTGAATCTGAGACAACTCTGTGTTTTATCTCTATGGAAGTTTCTTGTAGGATGTAATGTTGCATATGAAAGAGAAAGGAGAACCAATACCCCATCTGGTGGAGCTGGCTGCCCTGTGTGGCTGGATAAAGTGTGATTTGTTCAAAGTTAAGCTTCATAACAACTGATGGAGGCACCCCCTGACCTTCTGTGTACATCTATATTCTCTTCCAGGAGCTACAGAGAGCTCACTTGGTCACTCTTAGGTCTGATTAGGTTTGGTTAGCCCAAGAACCACCCAGAGGCACAGTTGAAGAGTTAGGCATCCCTCACAGGCACCTACAAAAAGGCAAGAACCACTCCATCTGCTGGTACCCAACAGCAGGACAATATTGTTCACACTTTTGCCTCCTTCCTGTCCCCTTTATTCAGGGAGAAACCCAGGAAGAACTCCCAAATACCAGGGAGAGCAGTTTCTTTACCCCCTCCCTGGAGAAGACAAAGAGGTAGGAGCACACTGGGGAGGCTGAGCCAGATGTCATTCAACTCACCTTCTGGGCTTCAGATCTTGCTTTCTTGTCTTTTCCATCGAGGGACAAACAGAATAGAAATTCCTTCATAGCTTCCTCTAAGTTTCCCAGAGAGGCTAAGGCCTGTGCCTTTCTGAAATGTGCCTGAAAGTAAATATGTGCATTAATTTTAGGCTGTCAGTCTGTGAGATAGTGTGGGATGCTGTAAAGTGGGAGGTCCAGTGTGGGGGAAGCTGGGATTATGAGTGTACTAGTGGACACACATAGAGACAGAAAGAAAATAACAAATGCCCCAAAGCAACAGAACCTGAGAACTGGCCTACAGAATTGAACTTAGGGGTGGGGGTAGGATGAAGAGGCAGAACTGGGACCATGGCAGGGGAGGGAAGTGGGCACTCTGATGAAGAGTGCACTGTTCTTTGTTTTGTTTTGTTTTGTTTTGTTTTGTGAGGGCCAATCAGTTCTCTGGGCTCACTCCTGCTCAGGGATCACTCCTGGTAGGGTTCGGATGAAGCTTCTCCAAGACCTCAGAGGTAACTAAAAATGAAGTTAAAACTAGAGCTGTGCTATGCCCCACTTGGAAGACTTCCTTTCAGAAGACATGTAAAGGGCAGAACACATGATTTCTGTGGTTCTGTTCCCTTCTGTGCTCTGGCTGCATCTCTAAGAAGTTACAAAGAAAAAAAAGTTACACGTGATGGGGGAATAAGGGGTGGCAAATGAGGAAAGCGGGAGTGTGGTGTTGGAACACTGTTTGCATGAAACCCTAGCACTAACAATATTATAAATTGTGGTGCCACAAATTAAAAACCATAAAATAAAATGTATAAGGAAATTCCGGGCTGGAGCGATAGCACAGCGGGTAGGGTGTTTGCCTTGCATGCAGCTGACCGGGCTGACCGGAGTTCGATTCCTCTGGCTTCGATTCCTCCGTCCCTCTCGGAGAGCCCAGCAAGCTACCGAGAGTATCTTGCCCACACGGCAAAGCCGGGCAAGCTACCTGTGATGTATTCGATATGCCAAACACAGTAATAAGTCTCACAATGTTACTGGGCCTGCTTGAGCAAATTGATGAACAACGGGAGGACAGTGCTACAGTGCTATATATCATAATAGAAAATTACTCAGCTATAAGAAAGTGTCTTCTCCGAGGAACCCCCCTTCCTATTCCACCCAAGCCAAATGCTGGCCGGCATACAACATAACATACTCTCAAGACCTTCTTCACTTTGGCTCTTGTTTAAAGGATGGAAACACAAAACATGACAAGAGAAGTCCTCTTCCTCTCGAGCAGACCCTGACCTGCACTGATACAGTGTCTGAAATAGTTCCATTGTATCCCATTTGAGACACTGGTGACTTGTAGGAACCTGAAACTCTGTGCACCCTGGACATACTTTCTCTTGAAGGAATAGGTAAGATTTTCTGACAGTGATGACCCCAGGTTTGACGTTTTGTGGATAGGTACTTAGAGAAGTTGGGTTTCTGAAGGAGGCCTGCTGGAGTTTCATAAAGTGCTGCATAAACCCCAGCAAAGAAAACAGTCCCTAAGGACCCCAGTTCAATCCCCAGTACTATATAGGGTCCCCTGAACACCTCCAGTAGTGAGCACTGAGTCAGGAGTAAGCTCTGAGAACTGCTAGGTGTGTTCCAAAAGCAAAAAAAGAAATAAAAGAATAAGACATTGATGTTCTGTGAGATGTATTTTCCCCCTCCCCCCATTCCTCCATGTGACCTATGTGTTTCGAGTTACCAGAGGACAGACTGTATTAAGGTCTCAAATGGTACAAATAGCCAGTAATATTTCTTTCCCTCTGTTCTTTCTACTGATCCTGGGAAATTATAATCATGATTATATGCCAGGTGGGCTGGAGCAATAGCACAGCAGTAGGGCGTTTGCCTTGCACGCGGCAGACCTAGCCAACCTGGATTTGATTCCTCCATCTCCCTCGGAGAACCCGGCAAACTACGGAGAGTACTTCACCCTCATGACAAAGCCTGGCAAGCTACCCATGACGTATTAGATATGCCAAACACAGTAACAACAAGTCTCACAATAGAGATGTTACTGGGCCCATTTGAACAAATCGATGAACAATGGGAGGACAGTGCTACAGTGCTATATGCCAGGCACCTAAACATCTTGGATGTGTCAGCTCATGTAATGTCTACGAAGTTTAATAGGTGCTTTGAAAACCACCATTATAAAGGATATGAGTCTCAGAATGTTTAAGTTATTTGCCCCAATCTACACAATAGAACTCAGTGCAATCTCGCTCCCAAGACCATGTTACCAAGCCCAGGCTGGCCATCAGGTGGAGATTGACATGGGAAAGAATCCAGTTCCCTTGCAGATCCCCGAGTCACCTTTTGCCCAAGGACTTCCAAGTTCTTTTCAAAGACATATAATCTAGTGGTCGCCAATCCCAAGAAGGCGGACTTTCCTGTCAATTCCTGCCAATGACCTAGACTATCCCTGTCCCTCCAGTTAACTGCACACTCACCTTGAATCCCATAGGACGGAGCATGCAAGCTATTTCTGCATCGTGCAGTGCTTTCTCAGGATCCTCCAAGGCAAAATAAATCTGAGATCGATTGCTGTAAAGCAGGTGGTCATTTGGAACTGCACAATAAGAGAAAAAACCCACATTATTACCTCCCCCCATTGCAGGTGCAGGATTACTGAGCAAATGCTAAGTTATCTAGAGCTCTTCTACTGGGATTTAAAGGGTTAGGTTCTATTTACAGCCCGAAAAATGTCCTGCTACCACACCCACTCGACAATCTGGGTCTGAGCATCCCAACTGAAGGTAATTTTTGCCCCTCTCTCAAGCAGTTCCTTAGAAGGCCTGTGGTGTCCATAGCTCATTGGCAATTTTGACAAAGAAAATCCTGGCATGTGACTATATATGTGGTTAGTGCCTGGAAGCCTGCCTTCTAAGAGAGAAAGCAAATAGGCCACAATATTTTGTTGTTGTTATTCATTGTTATTGATATTCTGTGGCTTACAATGCTATTGATGATGTTTTCATAATTATGGAAGTAATAATAATAGTTATTATTGTTGATATTATTAATTAAATATATTTGGGAACTAGTGAATCAGAGTTTGGGGTGAATTTTTTATATTTGTATATTGTCCCTAAATATATCAGGTACACCAGGAGGCTGGTCAGCCCATGCGATCCTAGAACTCAAGAGTCTACCCATCCATCTTTGTACCCTGGGGGACCCCAGAGCAGTGAACTGATCCTAGTGTTTGCTAGACTTGTGGGCTAGGGGTTTCAAGGTCAGGGTGTGGCTGTGGTGCATGTGGGATGGCGCGTGGGTGGGGTATCTATTTCAGAGAACATCCTGTGATAAGTAAGCGGTAACAATGAGTCACAGTGCTTAATAATTCCTGATGAAGGCCTGCTGGGATTTCATAGAGAGAGCACTGTAGAAACCTCAGCAAACGAGCTAGCCTCCAGGGACTCCAGTACAATCCCCAGCACCACATAGGGTCTCCTGAGCACTGCCCAGGATTGACCCCTGAGCAAGTCAGGAGTAAGATGGTAATTGTTCTTAATAATATTATAAAATAATATATAATTATAATAATATACCGATGTTATTAATTATAATGTTTTAATAACAAATAATAAGGATACTTAATTATAATTAATACAGTGAGTTATGGGGCAGTGGGGAGCAAATTCTCCCATCTTAGCCACCAGAAGATAAGTTCAAGGTAGTGTTCTAGTAACATTAACAATATCAGAGTCTACAAAGTCCAGCACGGAGGACATTTCTCTGGGAGGAAAATGGGTAATGCATTTGCAAAACGCTGTCCTCTTTTAGCAGATGGGCACATAAAAGTAGAGCTGGACAGGGATTCTGGGAATAAAATAAGCTTGCCTCTCCCCAGGCTGGATGATCTGATTCAACCAACCCATTCTTCAGAGTTAGAGGAGAAGGCACCTACTCCAAGTCTTAAACTACTTGGCCACACTCATTGTGACCCACTGGTTTCCTTTATGGAAATGGGGGTATGGTACTTAGACATATTTCCCAACAAAGCCACTCAGGAGGTAAGGGAGGATTTCCTCTTTGAAGGGTGAAGCTGGTCTTTATCTCTTTATCCTGATCACTATGACGGGGTTAAGAACTGATCCACATAATTGAGTTGGGGGTATATGGTATTTGTGAGGAATGGGTTTTGCGTCCTTGGGAGAGGCAGGGGGTAAAAACTGTTGTTGGCTCTGGTAGTGGAAATATGTGCCCAAGAAACCATCATTAATAGCATTAAAATATGAATATTTAATATTTAAAACCACAAAATATGAATAAAAGTAAATCACAACAACAACAAAACATCCTATCATAACAAAGTTGCTATAAAAAATAACAGTGCCAGAAAAATCCCCCAGGGAAAAGTGCCAGCAGTACGGGAGAAGAGGAGGATGGGAAAAGACTTTCAGAGTGTTTTGGTGTGTGGTTGAAAGAAATGGAATCTCCCGTGAAGATCAGGTACCCTCCATCTGTCTCCTTTTCAGAACCATCCTCACCCCCCTCAAAGTGGTGTCCAACTTCTTCTGATGGTACAGGTTTGGTGGTTTTACCTCAGATGCATGCCAAAGCCTGACTGGGTGCCTCTTTCTTGCTCTCAACAGTTAGCAGATAGTATTTACTCTTCTCTGTCTCTGCCCTTGGGCAACATATGCCATCCAGGTGGCAGCTTGGTCTTCCAGGCCTGTCAGCTGAAGGAGGGGGGAGTTCCCCTTCGCCCTCAGATGCCAGAAGCTTCTGGATCCTGCCGAGATCTCCTGTTACCTATTGTAAGCTCGCATGGACATTTCAGTGCGGAACTCCCAACTCAAACATCAGAGTTGAGCTCAGTCAGGGCAGCCTCAGATCACAGATATATGTTTCCCCCCTAGCAAGCTTTGCAGGATCCCGCGACCCCAGGTTCTGAGCCTGTGGATGTTTCTGTGTCCCTGCAGCGTGGCGCTTCGTTGGGGCTCGCGGGAAACTACATCTTGTCAGGTGCAACAGGATGTCGGTCAGCCCACGCGGTCCTAGAAGTCAGAATCTACCCATCCATTTTGGTCCCCGGGAGACCCTCGAGAAGTGGCCTGGTCCTAATTTTTGCTCAACTTGAGGGCTAGGGGTTTCAAGGTCTGGAGTGGGCTGCTGGCGGGGTGAGCGAGTGGAGTAGGGTATCTCTTTCAGAGAACATCCTGTGATAAGGAAGCTGCGATAATGAGTCACAGGACAGCGGGCAGCAGGGAGAGAGAGTTCCCAACACCCTTCCCTCCAGCACCAGCCTCCCTCCCATGCCCTGCCTTACAAGCTGGCAGGATGGTTCCAGACCCCCAGGAGCATGGCTCACTTCGCTTTGCTCAGCCATTACACAATCCGCCCGCGGGAGGGGCAGCCTGGCCCTGGCCACTCGTCGTCCTTATGCAACCAGTGCTCTCCTGACCTAATTCCACTCGGGACACACCCCACCCGGAGCTGAGGTTCTGTAAAATCCGGCCGCAATGACCCCCCAGACCTCCGCTGGTTCAGTCGCTGTTACTATCTGGGGCTGGCGCGAGCCTGGACGCTCGGGCGCACAAGTGGAACTCAGCGACGCGAAGTTTCTCTCCTGGAAGGAAAGGGTCAGGCAGGTGCCAAAGGGGTGCCAGGTTCGCAGAAGGACAACGGGATGGTGCTACAGAGGAGTCATAGGAGTACTAGAGACCCAGAGCCAACCAGTAAAGTGACAGACAAATGACCAGCGATGTGGCGAGAAACCAGAAACCGAGGCTAACAGAAACGGAGAATGCTAGGCGACGACACGCGGGCACAGGCAGAAGACAACAAAAGAGCATAAGTAGCCAAACCCACCTAGAAAGCCACACTAGTGCAAAGTCAGAGGCCCAACTCCAGGATAGCTCCCCCCTATTCCCCGCTCCGCTCTGATCACGGTTGCCCGCCCTCCTGGTGCTCCCCGCTTTCATCCGAGATCTGTCTCCCACTTCCTGGTCGGGCATCAGGCACGCGCCCGAGGGTCGCATGGTGGGCTCACCTAGTTTAACGGCTTCGTTGTATTTCAGCAGCGCTGCCTCCACCTGGTTATCGCGGTACAGCTTGTTGCCCTCGTGCCGAAGTTGAGACGCCCGGGCCCGGCCTGGGAACATCTTGCTCAGGAGGCTGTTGAGCACTACATTGACTCGAAGCTGCAGCTGGGGCCGGGGTGGCAGCGGCAGGAGTGGCTCTATCGGCAGCGGAGGCTCGATAGGACCCAGCAGCCCTAGGCGCCGGATAAAGCGCATCCGCCCGGGGCTCAGCAAAGAGGAGAGCTTGACCCCGCACACAGCACAGCGCCGGTCAGCGGCGCGGCCGCGTTCCAGGCACAATTTGCAAAAGGTGTGGCCGCACAGTAGGGACACGGGATCTGAGAGAAAGCTGTGACACTTGGGACACTTAAAGCCTTCCCACACCTCTGTAGCCTCAAAGGCGGCCCTTGCCTCTTCATCAATCACCGTGGTAGTCGTTGCCGCTCTACACTCGGCTGGGAGCGCCTGGACGTTCCCCGCTAGGGAGAGCACCAGCTGCTCCAGCTGCTCGGGCACTAGCTGCTGCAGCCCTGAAAGCTGTTTGAAAATCTCGAGGGCTTCCCGGAGGCTCCCCTGAGCAACCAGGGCATTGGCCTGTGCCACCAGGACTTTGGTCTCCTGCTCTGAGACCATCTCGGACTGCTCAGGCTCGGGCTCGGGATCAGGATCGGGCTCGGGATCAGGCTCGGGCTCGGGATCAGGCTCCGGCTCCGGCACGGGCTCGGGCTCCGGTTCCGGGTCCGGATCCGGGACAGGCTCCAACACCGGCATTGGTACCGGAGTGGGCACTGGCACGGGCTCCAGCTCCGGCGCCGGATCCTGTGTGGATAAAGGTGCGGAGGCTTCAGTGTCCGCCTTCGCCGGCTCGGGACCCATGTCTATGTCTGTCACTACCGACGCAGGTTTTGCCGCTTCCTCCAGCTTGAAGTTGTGCTGCCGCTTAGCTCAGAATCTGCTCAGTCTGAAATAAAGCCACAAGGAAAGGGACTAAGCAGAAGACACGCGTCTAGGAGTAAGGGAGTCACAGCGGGGAGCAGCAAGTAAGGCGAGTTTAGACTGCTCGAATGGCCAAGCTGCAGCGCCCTGATCCCTATCGCACCTTGGGGACTCCAAGCCTGCCGGCCCGCGCTGCCTAATAACTGCCTTGTCTCAGCAAAGTGTTATATAAAATGGCCTCACGTGACACGCCGCTGTGCTGTTCATTGGCCAGCGGCAGGGAAATTGTTACAAAACCAGTCAGTTTTGTAACAGTGTTGCGCTTGCTTCTTTCCGACTTAGCTTTTCTTGGCTTCTTTTTTGGGGGTGTTAATTGCATTTATATTCCTTATTTCCCCCCTTACACTGCGAAGAAGAAGGAGAACGAAAAAAATTTGGAAGAAGGAGACGGAACGAAAAAAATTTAAAACTCCAAAGTCTCGCACGGGCTCTTCCGTCTCCACATCTTAAGGTCCCACCCTCCAACAAGCCGGCAAACAGGTTACCTCCTATACAGTCGCTCCGTCCCGGGACCCAGGACGCGGGACACTCCCCGCTTCCCCATCAACCTCCTCCCCGGAAAAGCCGGTACCTCCTGGAGTCGCGGTGTCTTGTCTTGTTGGGGGGCCACAAAGGTTCACTCTCTTAGGGGATGTCTGCTGGTCTGCGAATGAAAACGGATCGGGAGGATTCCCAGAAAGCCCCCTTCCCAGCTCCAAATTCTGATCCCGGCGTGAGGACCACGGGAATCCCAGCTCCGACGCTTCACACTCGGGATCCCCGCTCACTTCTCACCAGGAAGAATCTCCTAAAAGTAGTGAGCGCAGCGACGCACGGGCGCACGATCTCCGGCGCAGAGAGCGCCTTGGAGCAGGGAGCCAGTTGCCGCAGGAGTTGGGCGGCACTGAGGAACTCACCGAAGGAGGAGAGGAACGCACCAAACAGATGCGCTAACAGGTTCCCGCGCAGGGTAATACCCCAGCCCCACTCGCGAGGGCTTCTCTCCTTACCTTTTTCCCTTCGGAAGCGGGTACCTGCGCTGGGGCGGGTGGCGAGAGCCCTGGTGGGACACCCCGGGACCCCGGGGTCGCACCCGGACCCCGGGGCCACCCGTCTGATAAGCGCAGCTCCGAGGAGATGGTCTATGGGCTCAATGGGCACTCCGGGTCCATGGGGAAAGGACTGGTAACAGAAAACCGAGGCGACCGCCCCTCGGTAGAAAGTCTCCAGATGCCGACTTCAGACCAGCAGTCAGAAGATCTGTGCTCAGGTACCAGACTCCAGGCAGCTTAAGTATGACGCCCGCGCGTCACAGTGCGGGGCGTAAGGGGGCGCGTCACAATGGGGGCTGAGCCCTCCCGGGGCGGGGGGGGGGGCGAAGCGAGCAGAGCAAGCGCTCATGCTCGACTCAGAACCGCTAAGGGGTTATCCAGGGTGACTCAGTTACTTCCAGAATGCCCTGTGCACAGCCCACGCTCTTCCTCCCTCCCTTCACTTCTAGCGGGAACTCCGTGCACAGATAGGCAGAAAGGCTTAGATACCTAAAAGGAGCAAGGCTCTTGCTTCGCAAAGCACTTAGGAGTGCTCTTTTGCTCCCTGCCCAGAGCTTGGAGGCTGGGACTGGGCTTTCCTCCATCTGCCAGCAGAGCTTGTAGGTTGCAAGCAGTGCTAGGGGCAAATGCCCTTGGCAGAGCGCTGCTCCAGGTACCTGATGATCCTCTGCTGTAACAATTATTTCTTTCTTTTCTTTTTTCTTCTTTTCACTTTTCTTTCTTTCTTTTTTCCTTCCTTCCTTCCTTCTTTCTTTCTTTCTTTCTTTCTTTCTTTCTTTCTTTCTTTCTTTCTTTCTCTTCCTTTCCTTCCTTCCTTTCTTCCTTCCTTCCTTTCTCTCTCCTTCCTTCCTTCCTTCCTTCCTTCCTTCCTTCCTTCCTTCCTCCCTCCCTCCCTCCCTCCCTCCCTCCCTCCCTCCTACACCTTCCCCTCTCTCTTTCTTTCCCATTTTTTAAAACCTGAGCGACCTTGGGCAAGTGACCTAAGTATTTGCAGTTCTTATTTTCCCTTCAAAATATGATTTCTTTTTGGAAGAAGCGGGGGGGGGGGGGGCGTGAAGAAAAACGATCCTAAAATTTTTGCACTGACTTTTCACAGTAATTGTAGTTTTTGTCTCTTGACCAAAAGTAAGGGAAGAGCTTAGTTGGGACCAAATATCGCTTTAGTGTGGGGGGACAAAAGGCTTCTTCCAGGCTCCGCTTTTTGTGCTTGGTGCCCCGCCCCCACCCCCTACCCACGCCTCTCTGCTGAGTTTCATAGCAACATCCCTTGGGTCTCTAAGGCTGCCCTCGGTTGAGACTGGAGTAGAGGATCAGAGGGGGGAAGAGAAGTAGGAACACAGAGGAAAGACAAGAAATGACATAGGATGTAACTAGGAAGGTGTATGGCCCCTCAGCCTCTATGGAATGCAATAAGGAGGTTTCTCCCAAAAGTTGGAATATGACTCAGCAATTCCATTTTTATTTTCTTCTAACCCCTAAACACAACAACAGTTTGAAAAAAATGCTAGCTTTTATTTTCATTGTAGCACACAGTAACCACAATAAGGATGCAACCCAAATGTTCAATGACATTAAAAGGTATAAAGAACTTGTGGTTCACTTACATAATGGAATACTATGCAGATGCAAGAAAACATGAAATCATTCAATTTACTGCAACTTGAATGAAACTGGAAGGCATCATGTTAAGTGAAATAAATCAGAGAAATAAACTAGAGGGACCACAGAAATTGGATGATTTCACTTATCTGTAGAATAGAGATAAAAAAAATAACAGGAATAGACAGTATGGAACAATGATCCATGGCCTTGGATTAGAAAACTGATTACCAAGCAGTGAGGGGAGCAGTATAGGAAATAAAGATTGGTCTATACATTACACAAGGACAGTGGTGGAGGAGCTTTGACATTTTGGTGGTGGCATGAAACAATAACTTTGCACATCAATATCATAGCTAACACTATTAAACTATGCTACCTAACTTTAATCATTTAAAAATATGTACACACAGAAGACAGTCTTGCAGCACTGATTTTCTCACAACTTCCTGTGAAGCTCTGGCTATTTTTCTCATTGACAAGATTTCATGACACAAGCTAAACTTAATTTTTTGTTTGCGGGCCATATCTAGACTTACTCAAGGTTTAATCCTGACTCTGTCCTCAGGGATCACTCTCAGTGGTGCTCAGGAAATCCTATGTGCTATTAAAGCCCTGGTCAGCTACATGCAAGGAAACACCTTTATTTGCTATATTAACTCTCTAGCCCTCAACTTAACTATTTGTTTACAAAGGACTAATCCAGATGTTGGTGTAGAAAAGTACAGAATACTTTTGACAAAATAAAGTTAAGTAGTGATGGAATGGAATGGGGGTTAGATAGCTCCTTTTGATCAGGCTCAAATATAAGCTAAATTTACAAGCTAAGGATGTTTGGGTATTGGCCAATAGATGAAGTAGATGGCAATGCAGCAAGCCAAGGTAAAACTGAGGCTCCTGGATTTTGCTGAGAGTTCCTTTCACCCTTCAAATCTTTTGATGTTGAATGGATGTATTTTAGTCCATTTTGACTAGTATTCTCTAGCCTAGGGAGGCTATAAATAGGTCAGTGGTAGAGCACCTGCTTTGTCACCATGATTTCTTGAATTTGCTGCCCAGCACCACCTCCAATGCCAAGTGCAATCCAAGAATCCATCAAAGTCTGGTGAACAACTCAAGTGTGTGAACACTACAACCAAGTGTGTGACTCCTGGTCTCACAACCACAATAAATGGATAAGAAGGGGGATATCAATAAATAAGATAAAATTAAAGAACAATAATATGCATATTGTTGTGGTAGGATTATAAATATCAAGAATTGTTTCTCACATTTGGATGCTTGAAGTCTAAGATCAAGGTGCTGTCAGACAGGTATCTGGTGAGGGCCCAGCTCCTGGTTCACTTTCTGATTTTGTTATCACAAGGCCAAAGTGGAGGAGTATCTCTCTGGTCTCTTTGTTTAAGGATACTAATTCTATTCATCTTCCCAAAGTCACATCTTCAAATATCATCATATTAAGGAATCATTTTCTATGCATGAAAGGAGGGGTATTCAGTTTTATAGTAAGGATCAAGTTCTAGTCATTCACTGGCGTCTTAGGATACTTATGAAGGAAAAGGCGTGTCTGTGGGACAGATATGGAATACTTTTTATTAAATATTTTTATTCAGTTAAAGAACCATGATTTACAAAGTTATTGATAGTTGAGTTTTAGTCATACATATACTAATTTTTAAATTTTTTATTAGTGATTCACCGTGAGGTACAGTTACAGTCTTACAAACTTTCGTGTTTGCATTTCAACGGCATATACTATTTTAGCACCAACCCTATCACCAGTGTAAACTTCCCTCCACCAGTGTTCCCATACTGCATCGCCATCCCCAATCTCACCTGACACCTGGACCAGCATTTTACAAAGTTCAAAGTTCTGTGGTTGCAGCATAGATCTCATTTTTTAGTGTGACAAGTCCATATTTAGTTATAAAACTGTAACATTCTCTTACATCACCAGTATAACCCAACCAGTAGAAGTTCCAACCCTTATTCACTTGTTACATCTCTTTCTCATCTTTTCCCTCTATCCCTTGATTTCTTTCCTTCTATGTACTTCTCCTCCTTAAACTCTGGGGTCAAGGGTTATATAGGCATCCCCCCACTTGACTTCATTACATGTCCTCCTCTAGGTATTCTATATTGCGCTGATAACTGAGATCATCCTGCGATTTTTTTACTTCTTTCACTTAACATAATATTTTCCATTCCAACCATGTTGCAACAAATTGAATAATTGTATACCACATCTTCAAAACCCATTCATCTGTTGTTGGACACCAAGGTTGACTTCATATCTTGGCTATTGCACTAAGTGCAGCGATGAATAATTGTATGCTTATATTCTTTTGTGACAGGTAGAGATTTCTATGAAGGGTTCTGAGATTAATGACACTTAAAACCTTTCATTCAAGAACTTGATTTTTTAGACAAGTTGAAGAAGTTTATTCTCTAAAAATGTCTTTCTGTGCAGAACTGGAACACTGTTGACAAGTAAGCCTTCTTTAAGTTGTTTTATCTCCACTGCCCATTGGTATAGAGAGGCAATAGTAGGTCTTGGTCCTGCAGGCATGATGCCACTTCCCAGGTAACCTTTTTTAGCTGTTGCGTATGTCTCATGCTCACACTGAACTTGATCAGTAATGTTAATAGCTGTCTGGTAGCATTGAATATGCACAAAAGGAAAGGACTATCTCCTCACTGACCCCAAATCTTGGTGTTGCATTTTCAAATCTGAACTACTTATATGATACCATCTAATGTGTTAGTTTCTCTGGGAAGCTAGAAACACATCGTCACCACAGTTTTCTTTCCTTCTTTAACTTAACTTAAACATTACATTGACACATTTTGTGGACAAACTCTGAAATCTACTCAAAACTTCCTGCTCCAGTTTAAAAATTGGAGCTCCTGCCATATCACTACTGACCCCAGTGTTTAAAGAGAAGTACAGAGAAGGAAATAAATCAAGGGAGTGGGAGAAGAGACAAGAAATAATGGATAGACATGCACCAGGGCTTTAGTGATACTGGTGATATGAGTTAGTGTTATAGCCATATATCCAAAACACTTAATCACTTAATCACTTAACTTCCCATTAGTCGTCGATTTGCTTGAGTGGGCGCCAATAACATCTCCATTTGTCCCTGTCGCGTGCTAGTGTAGCCCAATGGCATCTGTTCGCTCTGGGAACATGAAGAACCTCAAACCGATCATTCATGATCTTGACGAAGAAGTCTGACCATCTGGTAGGTGGGCGGCCACGCGGTCTTTTGACATCCCGTGGAATCCAGTCAGTAACAGCTCTAGTCCAGCGGTCGTCTTTAAATCTCATTACGTGACCAGCCCATCTGATTTTAGACACCTTGGCAAATGAGACAGCGTCCCTGATTCTTGATCGTCGACGGATGTCGGAACTCCGGATTTTTTCTCTCATTTGAGTGAAATGTGATATTCCAAGCATAGCTCTTTCTATTCTTCTTTGGGAAACCTGAATAGCGTTCTCATCCTGTTTGTGTAGGGCCCAAGTCTCTGAGGCATATGTTAATGCAGGAAGAACAGTGGAATCAAAGAGATGTGCCT